GAATGTCGACAGCACAGCCCTGAGGAGCTTCCTCAGCAAGATCGCGGCCATCGGCGAGGTATTATCAGTATTATCTTTCGGGGAAAGTTATTGTTGTTCTTGGGTGTGAGTGCTGGTGGTTTGCCAGGAAGTCGGTGAGCCAGTTCTGAGCCAGTTCTTTCTGCACTTTAAACGTGATTCTAGAAAGTGAGAGCGCTGAAAAATTTGACCTCCCTGAATGACATTCTAGTTACAGTTAATTCATTGGCTTTAATTAAGAATCTGCTCTGTGGTCATCATTAGGAAGTATCAAAGAAGAATAAGCACAGTTTTTCTGTTTTCAAGGATTTTTATGTGGTTGGACAGGTTAACACCTAAAATGGAGATAATGGCCCTAACCGGTTTGGCTCAGTGGATAGAGCGACAGCCTGTGGACTGAAAGGTCCCAGGATTGATTCCGGTCAAGGGCATGTACCTTGGTTGCGGGCACATCCCCAGTAGGAGGTGTGCAGGAGGCAGCTGATCGATGTTTTTCTCTCTCGATGTGTCTAACTTTCTATCGCTCTCCCTTCCTCTCTGTAAAAAAATCAATAAAATACATTTTAAAAAGTAATAAAAATAAAATGGAGATAATGATATATTTATTCATTCAATAAAGATAGAGTGAATATGTCCTATATACTGGGATTTGTGCTAGGTGTAGTTGTATAGGAACAAATAAGACATGGTCTCTAGAGGAAAGGAAAATAAAGAAAGCTGCAATTTCTATACAGTGCGATGAGAAGTGAAATAGAGCTCTGTTTTGAGAGTACAGTACAAGGCAGCATTTAATTAATTCCTAAAATGTGTGGTGATAAGTTCAGGAAAGAAAGACATCAGGGCCAGAGTTCAGATCCTCATTCTCTCATTTGAGTGCTTTAAACAGCCTTCTGATTACTCTCTCTGCCTCGGGCCTCTTTTTTCTCTGCTCTCTTCCAAAAACAGAGATCTGATCAGGATTCCTCTAGTTTGATACCAAAAATCATATGTAATGTGACACACAAGGACCTCCAGAGTCTGGGCTTTATCCACCTTTCTGGGCCCCTCTTGCACTCTCCCTTCACCTCACAGTTGGTGGCTAGCACTGTGATGTGCCACTTACCTACTTCCCCCCAGTGAGTTCTCAGAAGTAGAGCCCATACCTTCTTCATATTGTATCCCCGGTCCCTGGCATAATATCTGGCAGGTGGTTAACACCCCACAAGTGTTTACTTAATTGAATATGGAGAGAGAGAGAGAGAGAGAGAGAGAGAGAGAGAGAGAAAGAACAAACCAGATAAAAAGATGGATCGGATGGGGGAGGAATGTTCATATTGGGGAGAAATAAGCAATGAAGTAGAGACCCTTGAATGTCTGGATAAAGGAAGACTATGGAGAATGGTGAATTGCTAACCTCTATTTCAATAGGGTGACATGATCATGATGACATTTGGTATTATTAAATTGGTGTGTCAGCCTAGGCAACATTAACACAGTCTGCCTTTTGTTGAAGATAAAGCATCTTACCCCGTATAGTGCAGAATTGAGAAGTCAATATATGGGGCAAAGTATGTAGGACACCATGAAGAGATAAAAATTAAATTACTGAAAGCAAAGCAAAGTGTGATAGAAAGATCATGGGCAGTTTTCCTTCCTGGCACTAGGGCTTACCAGATGTAGAGAATCTTCCCAGGACATGGAAAATGCTGAATAAAATTTGGAGGGGGGCGGGCGGGGGGGCGGTGCAGTAACTATGTTTATTGTGACATGTTAAAGAACCTTTTTTTAAAATGTTTTTTTATTGATTTCAGAGAGGAAGGGAGAGGGAGAAATAGAAACATCAATGATGAGAAAGAATCATTGATTAGCTGCCTCCTATACGTCGAGCCTGCAACCTGGGCATGTGCCCTTGACTGGAATGGAACCTGTGACCCTTCAGTCCACAGGCCGACGCTCTATCCATTGAGCCAAACCAGCTAGGGCTAAAGAACCTTTTAAAAGTTATTAAAAGCAAGACAAAGGAATAAGATAGTTTCAAATGTAAGCAGATATATTTGAAAAAGAACCATCAAACTTCTAGAAGTGAAAAATATAATCATTGAAAGTAATAACTTTAAAATATATAGATTCACCGGCAAGTTAAAACAAAGCTGAAGAAAGAATTAGTGAACTGGAGGAATTATCTAAATATGGCACAGATTTTATAAGTTGGAATGTAATGGCTATATATAGACTATTTAATCAGAGTTCCAGAAGATAACAGAAAGACTATGTTCTCCCCACCCCCAGCAACATATTGTTAATTCTATGCTTTTTCCAACATTCTTGTGTGTGAGGTTTATCCATTTGGATATGTTCATTTTCACTCCTCTGTTGTGCTCCATTGTGTGCATATTGCTTAATTTCTGTTATATCTGTTCTCTTGTTGATGCACATCAGGGTTATTTCCAGTTTGGGGCTATTATGAATGTGTCACTGTGATCATTCCTATACACATCTCCTGATGAATGAGTGCAAGAATTTCTCTAGAGTGTATATATGTAGGAATCGAATTACTAGTTTATAGGATGAATTTCACACACAGTAGTAACTGCCTCATATGATTGCTGTGGGAGCAAAGTTAAATAAGGGGCAGGCTGTCTGTTTGAAAGACATTATCTACATTTCAAGAGGTTTTTAAAACACATCCCAAGCAGCAAACACGATCAGCTGTGCAGCTGTGGGGTTAGGGTCCAAGCAGCTGCAACTGAATGGCCTTGTGGGGTTAAGCAGGGTTGGCCTTCTGGAAGGAGATGGGTTCTGAGTGAAGCTAGAGGGGGTGGAACATGAGGTTCCAGAGTTCACATGGTAGAGAGTTCCAAGCAAGGCCTATAAGGGCTGCCCCTCCATGGCTTGCAGAAGTGTGTTATGTGGTGGGGCCCTCCCATCTTCTGCCATCATGTGGGGATTACAGGTCTGCCACTGGAGAAAAGAGAAGAGGTTCAAGGGTCATTTCAGCCCGTGTGATGTGTTCACAGGAGCTCCTGCCCAGAGGCCTGGACATCAAACAGGAGGAGCTAGGAGACCTGGTGGACAAGGAGATGGCTGCCACTTCAGCTGCCATTGAAACTGCTACAGCCAGAATAGAGGTATGGAGCCCTGGCCAATGTTCTCAGTGATGGAGCATCAGCCTGTGCAGTAAAGGGTTGTGGGTTTGATTCTTGGTCAAGGGCATGCACCTGGGTTGCAGATTCAATCCTGGCCCTGGTCAGGGTGTGTGCAGGAGGCCACCAATGGATGTGTCTCTCTCATGTCAGTGTTTCTTTCTTTCTTTCTCTCTCTCTCTCTCTCTCTCTCTCTCTCTCTCTCTCTCTCTCTCTCTCTCTCTTTCTCCCCTCCCTCCCTTCCACTGTCTAAAAATCAATGGAAAAAAATATCCTTGGGTGAGGATTAACAAAACACTAGAGGTATGGAAGTGTCTCAAGATCTAAAGTGATGCTCTTGCGGCTTCCCTTTGGCAACATTTCCTATTGATATATCTTAGTTGTTCATTAAGGCTTTAGAGGCTCCTTATAAAAATAAACCAAAACCAGAATATACCAGGATCTCTCAGGGGTAGAAAATGAGAAAGTCCTCACCACTAGAAGGTGAGCAATTTCCTCAAGGATCAACATACTTTGGTATCAGGCTATCTTGCGTTCAAGTTCCAGATTGATTGACCACTTACTAACTGCATGACTTCCAATAAGTTACATTAACCTCGCTAAGATTCTGATTTCAAAACCAATGACAATGCTTGTCTCGGAAAAGCTGAGTGGGCCCCATTGGAAAGGTCACACATTGCCCACCTTGGAGTGAGTACCTGCCTATAGGACCTGGTAGCCGCTGCCCCTCCCAGCATGGTGCCATAGCTCTCAGAGTTCTGTGCACACCAGCTTGGGTTCCAGAATGTCAAGACACTGACAGAGACAGCCTGCTGTAGTTGCCCGCACTGAGTAGATCACAAGTTTACTCGTAGATTCTTTTCCTGATTCTCACAAGGATGTGGATGGGCTCTTCTAGATTTGGATATTGGACCCAAAGTGTAGTGGGACGCCAGTAGGTTCTCAGTACCTGTGACGTGTTAAAAAAAACCCTGCTTCTCTTTAACAGGAGATGCTCAGCAAATCCCGAGAAGGAGACACAGGAGTCAAATTAGAGGTGAACGAAAGGTCAGTCTGAACAGCATGGTGGTGCGTAGGTGATCAGGGTCAGTCTTGCCTGCACTGGTTTATACTAATTAGAATAGAACACTAGCGGCCACAGGGAAAGGTTGAGTCTACTAATATGTAATTGTCAATAACAGTATTAATGATGGAGATAGTATCACTGTTGCATTATAGGGGGAAAGAAACCCCCAGGAATCCTCACTTAGCTATTCCTTATGAAGAAGATCCACAGTCCAGCCTCCTCACTCACCTGCCTTTCCTTTGGGGCTTCATCCGGAGAGCATAGCCTGCCTTACTTCCCATTCCAAGTATGCCTGTGTTTAGGAATGAGAAAGAGAACAGTTTTCTTCATTGGTATTAGTTCTGTATCCTCACCTTTTTTTTCCCCCCCAGGATTCTTGGTTCATGTACCAGCCTAATGCAAGCTATTCAGGTCCTGATTGTGGCCTCGAAGGACCTCCAGAGAGAGATAGTGGAAAGTGGCCGGGTAAGCGTGGGTGAGGGCCCGGGAACAGGGAGAACAGACATTAGTTAGTCATTAGTTACAGATTCCCAGCTCACTGAGAGGCTAAGTCTACACGAAACACTCATCCACATTCAGTGAGATCTATGTATGTTGCCTTCGCGCCCTGTGTGTCCATCTGAGGGCGCAGCTGCCGTCCCTAGGGATGTCAGCAGATGCCATGGGAAGAAGCTGGAACACTGCCAGGTCCCCAGAGAGCAGCCAGGCACAGCTTCCAGCTCCGGGCTCATTAACCCAGGCGACATCGTTGGGGCCTGCTGGGGAAACCAAGTGTGCATTGCAAGTCTGGGCCCTTGGAGGAGGAAGTGAGAGGTTTGAAACTAGGCAAATCGGGAACCTGCTGCTGACTTTCACAGTGGGCTCTGCTGTGTCTCTTTCCAACAGCAGTCAACTTGCAGTGCTTCACAGACTCGCCCTCAGTCTTGTCTTGACATTGTCACTTGGATTTCCTCACTCCTTTGCTGGCATTATTGCCATCTTGTTTTTTTCTCATATCCCTGAAGCAGCTGCAACTAAGAGACAAAGATCCAGGGAGGGTTTATGAGCCTGAAAGCAATCATATAAGGAACGAAGCCATATCTGTTTTGGTGGTGCTTTTTATCAGTCTGAGAGATGTTGTTTTTGGTCCCCAAGCAAAGCATTAATACATTTTTTAAATCCAAGTAGAAATAGTTTTTTAAAATTATTCACTGTATACCCTCTTCTTTTGGCTAATCATGGAGAGCAGCTAGACTCCTCTGAAATTGTTATTCATAAATATGTGTGTGTGTGTATATACACACACACACACACACACACACATACATACAATTTGGAAATATAATAAAAATGCCATGGGTTTTGGAGTCAGAAGAGCCTAGGATTTACTTTCATTTACTTCCTGCATGACCTTGGGAAAAGTATTTTTGCCTCTCAAAACTTTATTTTCCTTATCTGTAAAATGGGAATAATAATGCTTGCCTCTCAGAGTGGCTGTGAAAATTTATATGAGGTAATATATATATAAAAGCACCTGGCACACAGGAGGCACTCAATAAAAGGTAGCTATGATTATTTCTCACTTCCCTAGGGCACAGCATCTCCTAAAGAGTTTTATGCCAAGAATTCTCGATGGACAGAAGGACTCATTTCAGCCTCCAAAGCTGTGGGCTGGGGAGCCACTGTCATGGTGTAAGTGTCTTTGGGTCCCAAGGCTCCTCACCCACCCCCATTTCATTGATCACCCCAGAGAAAAACTAAGTGGGGGGGGCGGGATATCCCCACTAGAAATACACTGTTGATAAGGAAGTCAGTAGGACTAAAGTTTAAAAGGGAGACTGGGTCTCCTGGGGCAGCACAGGCAGGCTGTGCTCCCTGGCTGACAGGGTGAGGGGATGGTCTAGAGATGGGATCGTAAGGGGTTGCAGGTGTGACTGCCACAGTGACATAATCCATGTTGTCCTTTCCTGACTGTCAGTGAATGCAGCCGATCTGGTGGTACAAGGGCAAAAGGGAAGTTCGAGGAGCTAATGGTGTGCTCCCATGAAATTGCTGCTAGCACAGCCCAGCTTGTGGCTGCATCCAAGGTAGGACCTGTATAGGACTCCCTGGGACACTGTGAGGCCTGGCTAGGGTAGAGATACTTGGACTCTGAAGCTGGATTCAAGAACAGATGATTTCTCCAGGGTCCAGGAGGGTTGGGTCCCAAATTAAAATTCTGACTCTCAAGGGTCCCCCTACCCCTCCCTCTCAAAGCCTTTCATCTGTCAGCAAGGAGCCCTTCCACCCAGCTTACCACACATGCTCCTCTTGGCTCTCCTCACCTTTGTTACAAGTGGCTTTTGAGGATCCCAACTGTGCCGACCTCTGATAAGCAATCACAGCGTTCCAGGAGCACTCAAATAAGGAATGAGTCAGAGCAGTCAGATGCTTGCCCGGCGTGGCCCAGAGCTTCCTCAGTCAATGTCTGCCTCTCCTCAAGACTCCAAATTTGAACCATTGCCCCAGCTAATCCTAATGCAAAGCTTGTCACCAGTATCCTTCTGTGAGTTCTATAGTACCCCGGGGAGTGTTCTTTAATTATCCTTATTTATTACTATCCCAAATTGATTTTCACAAATGGAGCATTTCATTAAAATCCCTGAAAGCTTGAGTTTGAGATCACCAAGCAAATAAGCCAGAAAGCACCTTTTATATTAAAGATATGCCAGGAGTTGACCCCACAGGCAATGATTTTTGAGAAGTTGGTTGGTAACCGCAGTGGATCAGATATATTTGTCAAGAACCATCAATCCAACTTTTGACCACCGCTCTATGTTATGTGAACCTAAATATGCTTGGTTCTGGCAGGTGAAAGCTGGTAAGGACAGCCCAAACCTGGCCCAGCTGCAGCAAGCCTCTCGCGGGGTGAACCAGGCCACCGCCGCGGTCGTGGCCTCAACCATTTCTGGCAAATCGCAGATTGAGGAAACAGGTAGCCTTTCAGAAGCAATACTTTTTTTATCCATCCGATATAGCTGTTCTTACAGTCTTCTCCATGAGCCCAATTTCTCACAGTTCTGTTTCTAAATTCTCTCTTACTTTTCATCTTTTACATAAGTACTTATTTTCTCATAAGAAGGGTCACCACATGAGCGTGCTGTTTACTTCACTCTAGTGACACACCTTTAGGTAGATTTTCCATTTAGTCATTTCTCTGAATTCAAAGAAATGCCTCTACAGGCCTGGTTGTCTGGGGGGTGGAGGAGTGCGAGTTCTGATTCTGGTTACCCTGTCACTGTCTCCATCCCTTACAATGTGCACACGTGTGTTGATAAATGGCAAACCAAACATTTCAGCAGAACACTGGCATTGGCCACCTCCCAGGCGAGAGTCAGCCAGGGCTACTATTTGACAAGAACTTCTCATTTCCACCCTTGCAGACAACATGGACTTCTCAGGCATGACGCTGACCCAGATCAAACGCCAGGAGATGGATTCCCAGGTAGGAACTCCATTTCTAAGGTTAGCCGGTCTCTACTGCATATGATGTCAACCCCAAATATTCCCATGATGCGAAGCCAGTGAGCGAGAAACTTGGGAGGAAATGAACTCAGATGTACCATTCAGCCCAAGAATTAATGTAAGTGATGCTGAAAGAAACAGTGGAGGTCTCCAGCACCTACAACCGGGCCTGGGTTATATGATGGGTGCTCAGCAAATATCTCTTGAATTAATAAATAAAATAACTAAAATTAATGAGGCTTAAGAGCCAAAGCCAACCTCTCTTTTAGTGAGATTGTGCCTGTACAATAATAACTCTAAGTTGTACCAACCCCTCCAAGATGCCAGAACTATCACAATTGGTTCCTGCCTGAACTTCCCAGGAACCGGGATTGAAGGGTTATGACTAGATTGGAACACAATACCAGACATTAGAGTTGTCAGACATTAGAGTTGTTTTTAGATAGCCATTTATCAGAGGAACTTAAGTAAGTCCTACTCCCATTCAGGCATTTGGACTATAAAGCACCACACATTTCTAGTAGAGGGTCCCGGGGAGAAGATAGATGGAATAGATGGATGAATGAGAGGGTGGGGAAATTAGAACAGAGACAAGGTTGGAATTGAGAACTGGGTAAGCTATCGAATAATACGGAAGAAAACTGGAAGATGGAGAAGAGGGATTAAGTCAAAATAAGACAATTCTCAGATCACTGCTCAAAAGAAAATTCCACTTTCCCCACAGGTTAGGGTGCTAGAGCTAGAAAATGAACTGCAGAAGGAGCGTCAAAAACTGGGGGAGCTTCGAAAAAAGCACTACGAGCTTGCTGGTGTTGCTGAGGGCTGGGAAGAAGGTAAGCCTCTTGGGGGACCGGCACTAGCCTGCAGTGAAGGGGGTGCTGTGTGGTGAGGGCTTTCCCCTCGACTATAACAGAATGAGGAGCCCAGTGGTCAGTGACTTCCTCCTTCTCTGTACCCACAGTGCATGTTTTCAGTTGGAAACAATCTAAAAGCCCGAATTGTGAACTGAAAGCTTTTGTTGTCACCTTTCAAGACCTTAACGTTGACCGGTAGAGTGGTCACTCACCACCATTTCCTTCCAGGCCCCGTTAGCCTGGTTTACCCCCCAGGAGTCTAGTCTCTGGCCAGCCTAGAGTTGAATAGTGAATGAATGAATAGTGATCAGTGAAGATCCAGCATAGAGGGCAAGTGAATTACCAGGTTCTGACTGTCTAGAGCCAGTGATGGGCAGCAAAGGCCAAAAGATAGGAAGGGTCAGGAGCTAGAAATAGCGTGGACTGAATACTGTTCGGCCACCAGCCCAGACACTTCGTTGCTCAGACTCTGTGAGTGCTGCTTTTCCGCATGTCCAAGGTGGCCACTTGTTCACCACCAAGCTTGCCAATTCTTGTCAGACTTGGCTCGCTATAGTATATCCCAGTCATTCCTGTACCCTTCACGTAGGGACGAGGTGGTTATTATGATAATGTATTTTAGAGCCCAACATGGTGGCAGTTTTGGCTAACAATAGGTGCATGAAGGGCTGTGAAACATGAATGGCTGTTACTGTCTTTTAGAAACAGAAGCATCTCCACCTGCACTGCAAGAAGTGGTAACCGAGAAGGAATAGAGCCGCACTGATGCCCCACACGTCACAGTGTAAATCTTTGTTGCCTGTTTATGTGTGTATGTTATTCCCCAGCCACAGGCTAAACCCTTGGAGTCACAGTGGCAGCCACACCACTCCCATTGTCCAGTGCTGAGGACCTGCCTGGCCTTCCAAAGACTCCTCCACAGTGACACCCTTTGTGTTGGAACCCGTGATCTGTGTTCTTCCCGCCTCCCTGGTGTCCAGAGAGGACGGGGAACAGGGCCACCCCCACAGAGAGGACCTCCCTCCCAGTCCTGCCTGCTATTTTAGCCCCAAACAATCAGTGTCCTTGTCCGAGGGGCTGTGGTTGTTACGGCTGAGAGCCTGGAGAAGGAAGATCTTACGTTTTTTCTCTTCTGTTTTCTTCTCAGTCTTTTCCGTTTCATCACTTGCACAAACTTGTGAGCATCAGAGGGCTGGTGGATTCCAAACCAGGACACTACCCTGAGCCTGTGCACAGAGTCAGAAGAACAGCAGGAGTGTCCTGGCTGAGAATGCCAAGGCAATGCTTCCCCTCTTTTGGCAGTTCCGTGGATTCCCACTGCTTCTTACGGTGGTTGGTTGGGTTTTGGGGGTTTCCGTTTTCAAGTTTCACTCATATAGCCAACTCTCCCAAAGGGAATAGCTCTGAAGCTCTGAGCTCCTAGGAGCCCCTGACCACAGCAGTCAACAGCGATGGTGCTGCTCAGGCTTTACCTTGGTGCTCCCCATCAGCCTCCGTGCTTGTGTCCCGCTGAGTGTGGGACGCAAGGCCACTTCCCAGGGTCGGGTGGAGCTGCTGAGCCACAGCTTTCCTCCAAAGGCAGAAGTGGAGGGAGTGCCTTTCCCTCCTAAAGCTGGAGCCCAGTTGAAAGCCTCTGCCACCTTCATAGGTGAGAGGGCCACAGAGAGAGAGAAAGGAGGGTGCACAAGGCCCAGGTCTTCAGAAGACACCTTCCTTGGGAACTCCCTGTGAGCAGGCTGGAAAACCTTATCGCATGCTCGGACGGAACTGGTGAGAAAGCCGCACCTCTTTTTCCAGAATGAATTTTCCTTGGCACCTCCCTTCAGATCCAGGCAGGGCCCTAAGAGGGAGCTTGTGAGAGGTTTTCAATTCTTTTCTCCAAATATCTGCCTGCCTTGGTATCCTCTTGAATCTGAAAAAGATAGTTCCATGTTCTACCTAATTGACAGACCCAGAAAATCAGGCAAACTTGCTCCCGGTAGGAAAGAACCCCGTGCTTGGTTTGGTACCTTTAATATTTATTACTAACCTCCGTTAAGCAGCAGCAGCAGCAGCAGCCAACAGAAAGACGCTTGGTGCAATCAGGATTTCAGGTGTGACTATGGCAAGAATCGGAAACAAGGCCAAGATGCTGTCCCCATCTGTAACCAGCTTGGATCACAAAGCAAGCAAGGTTCCTCAGAGCATCCAGGGCAAGGAAAACAAAAAAGGGGGACCGCTGGCTCTGACCCCTTCCCGACACATGTCCCGGGCCCTCGATACCCTGTGGACAGGATGAGGGCACATTAATAGCCTCGTAGAGATGGGCAGCCAGACAGCACTTCTCCACCTCCAGCCGGACCCCAGCATTTAAGTGACCTTTTGATCTTGGACCGTGTCTTCCTTATCCATAGCAACTCCTAGGTAGTAGCCAACAAGCACTTCCAGGGCCTGTCCCAAAGGAACATTGTAAGTGTGGCTACGTGACAGGTTGTGAGACTCCTGTTTGATCACTGTGAATCAACCTCCCTCCTTCCTATACACCCCCCAGACTCCGTCTCTGTGCATTTCTAAGTAGGGCATCCAAAATACTGTCTCCCTTGAGTTCAAATTATGAGATTCAGATATGTGATTGCCACACTGGGCTAAAAAGCGGGCTCAGCAGTAGAAATTGAGCGCTTGTGTTTAATGCTTCTTTGTGCTCAGTGCTTTTCCATCCAAGACTCAGAAGGAGTGGTGTGTGGCATCCCTGGCCCACTTGTGCCAATTAAGCCAATCAGTGTATTCTCAATGTGGGTCAATATTTCCAAAGGTGGCTGGTCTTCATTTCCAGAATCTCGGCCAAACAGTTGTGCTCCAAATCACCAGTGGAGGGGAAAATCTAGTATATTGGACCAGATTAGGACTCTTTGAAAAACACTCCCTCTAAAAAGAAGCCACAGTAATTTTTTGTTGTTGTTGTTAATCCTCATCTGAGGATATGTTGATTGATTTTAGAGAGAAGAAGAAGAAAGAGAGAGAGAGAGAGAGAGAGAGAGAGAGAGAGAGAGAAACACTGGGCACCTCTCGTGTACACCTTGAACAGGAATCAAACCCACCACCTTTCAGTGTATGAGACAATGCTCCAACCAACAGCCACATTGGTCAGGGCACCACGGTAATTTTTAAAACTTCATGGGCTTAGCTTAGCCAGTAATAAAACCATTAAGAACACACTTAAACAGGAGCACAGTCTCAATCAGTCTCACAGGAGGCAACACCTGTCAGATAATTACTTCATCATTGCTCAAATTAGAAGCTAGTCCAGCCGTGGGCAAACTACGGCCCGTTTGAAATGAATAAAACTAAAAAAAAAAAAAAAAAGACCGTACCCTTTTATGTAATGATGTTTACTTTGAATTTATATTAATTCACACAAACACTCCATCCATGCTTTTGTTCCGGCCCTCCGGCCCAGTTTAAGAACCCATTGTGGCCCTCGAGTCAAAAAGTTTGCCCACCCCTGAGCTAGTCCATTCTCCAGCCAAAATCAAATTGGCCTATCCTGCTACTTCTAAAAAATGAGTGTGTGGTACTTGGTGTGAAATACCTGATGAAAACGGAAATCATATCCTAAGGCTAAAAATGAACCTCACAGCCTTTTAAATTAGTCACTGAGCATCACTTAGTGACTGGAGTCTCATGGCTCAGTGTAAATGGGTCATGACAACAGCAAAATAATGGCTTAGGACTGACAAGAGGTTAAAATGCGGCCGAATCTGTTATGCAATCTTGTAATACGGTGCTCTAATACCATTGGAATAAGAGTGTGTACATAAGTAAGGAAAAAGTGAAAAAGAACTATTTGTGGTGTTACTAGTATTTATATCTGAGCAAGGAGTTTAAATTGGACTATAATTGAGATTGATCCTTAGGATCGCACCTAAATATGAGTCCCCAGCCCTGTGGCTGGAAGAACCAAACATTGTCCAGGGCATCCTTTCTTGGAAGTGTTTGAGCTGCTGAATCAGACACCAGGTCCCAGGGAGTCACAAGTGCATGTTGTTTAGTCAGGTTGGTAACACTTTGGCCTCGCTAAGAGGAGCTGGTTCTGAGTTTGTACCCAGGACATACTCACTTCTTAGTCTAGAGCAGTGATTTTCAACCAGTGTGCATAATTTTAAAACATGCAATACCTGACTATTTAGTCAGGGGCACTGACCTCTTTTCCCTTAGATTGTCAAATAAAAAAAATGAAAATTAAAAAAAAAAAAAGAAAATAGCCATCCAGTGTGAATGCCCTGTCTTGAACCATAAATACATAGGTCATATAATAGAGTTGCAACTTATTGGTCACGTTGCATAATAAGGTTGCATCCGATTGGTTAATTCTTGGCACCAGAAGTCCTTATATACAAGTAAGTATAGATACCTGATTTTTTTAAAAGTAGGTAATTGCTATTAATTTTTTAGTAAATCAAAATTATACCTTTTTTTGGTCAGATCAGCAAAAATTGTCTTTTTGGAGTGCTGCAGAATTTTAGTAGTTTATGTATGCCATGAGATGAAAAGGTTGAAAATCGCTGCTCCAGAGGGGTCCTCTGGCTCCACTTACCCTGGTCTTTAATAACTAAAGTTCTTGCTACCTTCTCCACCTTTCAAAGTCTCTGGAAATCCCTCCTGCCAACAGAAGCCTTTAATCCTGGCACTGGCCTTCCAATCAAATTGGCTTTGCCCTCTCTCTCTGCCATTCTCCATCCTCCAGAGACTGCACTGCCTGTAGCATAGAACACCACCACAGGCCTGCCTGCCACCAACACAGCAAACTGGCGAGCTGTCTGCTGTTCAAGTCTTTTGTCTCCCGGGTCCAGACCAAATACGGGATCAGCAACTCACAGTGGTGGCCCCGCCTTTCTACCCCAGGAGCCAAAGCAACATGAAACAATTGCTTAGATGCTATTGGGTCCGATTCTGAGAGTAGATAATTTTCAGACGTGTCTTTCAGGTGACCCTCAACTACCTCAGGTTTGAAGGCCCTAAATTAAGCTGATTTTTCATAGGGACAAACCGAGGGGTTCAGGTAATGTTGGTGATAACACAATTGTCTCGAACTTGTAACTCTTTCACACTTAGCTTTGCAGGGATGGAGTTGGGATTGTTTTTCTTTTCCGTGTTTAACCTTTCCCCCACTTTTCCATTAGAATAGTTCCTGTAAATGAATTTCATTTTTCACTGAGTGCCTACCTTCCCAGGGCAGGTAGCCACTGGCTTTTGTTCCCTTCCAATAATACTTTTATTATGGTATTAAGACCTTTCTTTGTATAATACATTGCATCTGTGTTTCCAATTTTTCAAATAAATATTTCAACCTGGCAATGAAAAGTAGCATTGGTAACTGACCAAAGTGGTTTTGGGGTCTGGGGTTCCAGTTAAAAGCCTACATTTATATCCTGGGGTTCATTTAATCCACTTAAGCTCTAGGAATATGTCCACATTTTCTGAAGCATGGAACTATTGCATTTCCTTTGTTGTTGTAGAGAAACTCTAGTTTGTACCCCTTAAACATCTGTCCTCTCTGTACACTCCTGTCTCTGAAAATGATCAAACAGTGCCAAAGTGGTCAGTACTATGATTTGTCTAGAAGACCAGGTCTTGTCTAAAACCCGAGGTCTTAGACTATAGATACACCCTTCTTTGTTTTTAAGATGCATAAGTTAAACTGCTGCCTTCACATTGGATGGGACGAATTCTGCTCAGGGACAGAAGCTACCAATCCTAAGAGGATTCAGAGCCAGCCAGCCAGTGACCAGAGGGTTTTCAGAGGGAGCTGTCAGAATGGGGCTGGTTGCATGGTGACCTTTCCCTGGCAGGATTGTCTGCTACCTCATGCTTGCCAGTGTGTTAAGCCAAGGGGATCTACAGGGAGGGAGAGAGATGGGGAAGGCCTGGGGTTGGTAAGCAGGATAATTGCCCAAATGACACATCAAGTAAGTAGAGAATGAAGCAGTAATCAGACGCTATAGAGTAAGTAGGTCATACAACCTGGAAAAGGAAGGAAAATAATGTTGAAACTACCCAGTGGGGAAGATGATCTGGAGAGAGACAGAAGATGGGGAACACTGCCTATCATTGGGCTCTTCTCCCTGCAGGAGGATGCAAAGGCGAGCCTGCTCCATGTGAAGCACCCTGATAGACTGGGCACTTGGTCACAGCTCTCTTGCAGATCAAGTGTGAATCTGAGAGTCTAGGAAGCCGGGCAGAGGACTACCTTGAGCACACAGGGCCCCATGCTTGGAAATATCGGGGGTGTGGGTCTGGCCTCAGCCAGCAGTGCCATCCAGGCAGATCCTTGCTCCTGTTCCAGATGTACTCGTCCTTGACACCCCCTATACCTGCACATGGACTTAGACCAGGTACCGCAAGGGCTCTGGTACTCATGCCTGAGTGGTCTTCCTGGGGTCCTGTGGCTTGCTCCCCAGTTCTAGGAAGGCAGCCTGGCTAGTTGGTTACTGGCTATTATAAGGAATCTTGAAATCAGGTCACCAGAATGATGCCTAAAAGGGGGGCGAGGGGATAGAGTTTATAGATGGGGACCAAATGTGGGGTCTAGGGATGGCCCTGCCAAAGTAAAAGGGAACAAATGGTTGAACTGGGCAAGTGGGAGGATAGCCTAGATGCAATCTAGGCCAGGGGCATAGAGCTGAAGCATACGAAGTACCACTGTGATTTAAAGCCAGTAAGTTTTAATCCTGCTCACGATGGTTGTCCTCAGTCTCTCACACATTGCCCCAATGTAAGGGACAGAGGCCTTTAAACACTTTGGAATGAATGAATGCTCATTTTGAAATGCATTCTTATTTTTACACACATTTTATGCATCCATTCATTGTGCAGAAATTATCAAAGGTGAAGGCTTTCTGTTCCCTGTCCTCAAAGTTGCACTCACGTACTCAAACTATGTGTTTTCAAGTGTCCATCAGGCTCTGGGAACACAGTGGAAAGCAAGAACAGACGTGGTTCCACGCTTCTGGAGCTTCTAGGCTATTGAAGGAAACAGGATAATCAATAATAAAAACAAGTGTATAACTATGATTGGAGTTAAGTACAAGAGAGGAGCACAACAGAGGGCTCTGCCCATATGAGGAGGAGTTAGTGATAGCTGGACTAAAATACAGAGTACGAAGAGGTGCAGAGTACGAAGAGGTGTTGACTAGGCTCTGTGATAGGGCACTAAAGGGACTGAAGGCCAGTATACTAGCTGGAGCCCAGAAAGTGGTACAAGGTGCGTCTGGACAAAGAGGCAGGAGCAGATCATGCAGACATGGAAAGTGGTTGATGGGCTTTAGGCAAAGAGGTATCAAATCATTCCAGTTGCAGTGCAGAGAACATGTGAGAGTGGAGCAGGAGCCAATGGGAAATCCAGTGAGGCTGTTTTCATTTTGTTCCATAGAGAGGAACAAGCCACTGAAGGACGACAGATCAGCCCTCATCCTCACCTCCCGTGTTCACTAGCCAGACTGGCCGACTGAAAACACTTTTTGCAGGCTGACACATTTTTGTCACCCCACAAGATCTTCCACACTCCCTCTCAGTTCCCCCTTTAACTTTGCCTTTCATCTCTCACGATTCACTAATTCTGCTACAGGCCATTTCACAGGGCACGCAGGCTCTGCCCTTCTTCCTCAATCCACGTGCACCATGGTCCCTTTGTGAACCAACACAGCTCAGCAGTACTGTTTCTAGAGAAAGGATAAGTTTCTAAGTTAAACACCAAAGTCCTTGGAAGCATCCTAGACTGTCCTTCAAAATCTCTACTGAACTTTCCATGTCTCCTAATTAAATACATTTTGTTCCTATGGAACCAGCATTCAAAATCAATTTGAAACTAAATTTTATTAAATTCCTACATTGTTTATAATGACTAATATTACAACAGGTATGTCCTCTTGAATCATGCCAACTCTACAAACACTGCTGAGTTCTTACTGTACACAAGAGACTATAGGAAAGAGAAAACAAGCCAGGTATGGTCCCTTCTTTAAGGATATTCCAAGTTTAGGAGGAAGACAAGACATATACACATGAAAGGAATAAAACACTATTTCAAGAAATTAAGCAGTATTCAAAGGAAAGAGAGAAATCAGGCAATAACTTTAGAAAGCAATGATTATCAAAGGAAATGTTTTTAAGGATAAAGATGTAAGAATGCTTCGAGGCTGCCCAGCTGGCATGGCTCAGTGGTTGAGCGTCGACCTATGAACTAGGAGGTCACGGTTCAATTCCCAGTCAAGGCACAAGCCTGGGTTGTGGGCTCGATCCTCAGTGTGGGGGGTGCAGAAGGCAGCTGACAAATGATTCTCTCATCATTGATGTCTCTATCTCTCTCCCCCTTTCCCTTCCTCTCTGAAATCAATAAAAATATATACATATATTTTTAAAAGAATGCTTTGAGGCTAAAAAGAAGTCAGAGGAGATAGGAATTGAAGTATGACACAAATGAGAGGTATACTGAAGCAAATTCCTTGAGTTGTGAATTCAATCATTCTACCCACAAATTCTTATTCAATGTCTACTGAGTTTAAGGCATAAGGAATACAATGCCAGGGACACATCCATCCACCCTTTGAGAGCATGCAATCTGGTGGGGCAACTGACACTGAACAAGTATAAGGCATGACCCAAAGGTTGCGGGCAAAGGAGGACATGGCAAGGGAACTAGTACATTCAAGGAGATCAGGGGAAGCTTCCATGAGGAATGACACTTAAGCTGAACCTGAAGAATAAGTAAAAGTTGGGCGGGGGGTGAAGAATATAGTCCAGGCAAAGCTAACAGCAGTGAAAGAGTTTGGCACATTGAAGGATGACAGAAGCCCCTATCAGTTATGGGTGACCGATGTAAGAACCAAATTGTAGAAGACCTTGAATGACACTTGAAGGATTTGGGGCTTTATACTTGGGATTTTAAGCAGGGGTGTGATATAACATCAGCTATCACCTCTCATCTAAATAGCCTCAGTGGCCACCTAAATCATTATTTTGTTTGTTTTTTATTTTTATTTTTTTTGATCCTCATCCGAGGACATGTTCACTGAATTTTGGAAAGCACAGAAAGAATAGAGAAAAACATCAACATGAGAGAGAAGCATTGACCAGTTGCCTCCCACACGTGCCCCAACCTGGGATTGAACCTGCAACCTGGGTATGCGCCCTGACCAGGAATCAAACCCTAGACCTTTTGGTGTACAGGATGACGCTCCAACCGAGCCACACAGGCCAGGGTGCCTCCTAAATCTTAAACCTAACCCAGCTCTGCCCTCTGCCAAGCCATTCTCATGTTGCATCTAGAGTAATCATTCCCAAAGTTATATCTGATCTTGTCACCCTCTCTCTCTTCCTTAAAACCTTTCAATGACTAGGAAGATATGTTTCAGTGGAAAATTATAGTACAACCTTGTGGATATTAAGTTCTAGGCCTCTTCATGGTCTTTAAAGTTTTATTATCTACCTATAAACTGGACTGGATCCTGGATTCTTCTAGTTTCCTCCATTATCTGGCTACAACTCTCCCAACTAACATTTCCAATCTTTCTCCCACCCTTCTGACTTAAAACCACTAACAACTAAAATAGCCCTTTCCCCAAAGCACTTCAAATCGAAGCTGGATGATTTGATATAAACTTTAGAGAAATCATCTTAATAGCTCATGTATGGACACCCTTCCTGCCTTCCTGAGTGGGTCGCTCAGAAAGTTCACCAGAATACCTGCTGACATCAACAGAGACATTCACACTAAAAACTAGGAAAATCTGTCAAACTGCCACTGCCTCATGCCATCTAACATCTAGAAATCGTCTCAACTTACCCTCTGAACTAAAAAACCGAATTAATAGTTTGTTCTAATCATTAGCCTTTGTTTTTCTTTTGTTTCCATAGAAATGCGTCTTTTTTTTTTAATGCTTCTTTTTAAATGCCTGATTGCTCACACCATATAGGGGGCCCCCCTGTAACACTGCCTCCTGAAACGAGATACAGCTGTTTTATTGGCCTGACCTATTCCCAGGCCTGAGAGACGGGGTCGATGGGTTATGGAACAACCTACCAACTCAGTTTCTGGACTAGGAAACTTCTTGGGGATACAGGGTTCAGGACATGCTACCTAAAATATTGATACTCCAGCATACTGAATATTTTGAGCTGAAGGAATTCGAGAAACAACATGTACCGGAAGGACTTTCTGACCTTCCCCTGAAGCAGGTCACAAAACCCTCATGTGAGTATACTCCCCGGAGGAAAGGCACATCTTTATCTCCTAGTAGGAGGGATGCCGAGAAGAATCTGAACAAATGTAAACTATTCCCGCCCTGACCAGTTTGGCTCAGTGAATA